TTTAAAAAATTAAAAATTATTATTTGTTTTTATTTCTTTTTTCTTTTCTTTTTTCTTTCTTTTTTTTCTTTATTTAATAGTTTCTTTAGATTTTTACTTTCTTGTTTAGTTTTGATGTTGATGTTTTAATATTAGCAATTATCAAAGTAAAGAGAAAGTTTAAGTTAATTGATGAATTACTATAAATTTCTGATGATTTATTTTAAAATCACTTTATATATATGTAAAATATGTTGGTTCGATAAAAATTCAGAGCTTGTTATATACACTGTCGTTTTCGGTTGCATGAACGTTGTACATTTGGGAAATAATTGCATTCTAAGCTTGTTTTTTATTCTATTTATACTTGTATATTCAATTCCAGTGACTATGATACTAAATATGAAAATTTGTGATATATCAATGATATCAATGATAGTGTAAGCATAATTTTATTACATTTTCATAGTTCACCAAGTTTTATGATCATTGATGCTAAAATTGATTTTAAAATTGTTTGTGTTAAGCTAGTGCTACATTAATGCGCGATCCATAGTTTGAGATTTACAACTTATTATTATTATCTGTATAATATTTGTGAATAGTGTGAACGGGTAGATTTATCAGGTTTTATATTCATCGTTTACTAGTTATACCAATCTGCAAAGCAATTTTTTAATAGAATCAAAAAACATGAATCATGAATTGTGCATAAATTGGCATTAGTTTTATGCTTGTGCAAACGCTAGATCGTATTTTGTATATCGATACGCGTCATTTAATTGAATAGAAGCTTAATTTTGATAGGGAGATGGTGTCGCAATACCGTGGCATGATATTTTAATTAATTATGTTAATTGAGAATGTAAATGAAAAGGAAATTGGAAAAGAAAGAGAGAAATCATTCATCTTGTCATTTGGGAAGAATTCTGTACTGTCTTTGGAAGTAATGTGCATATTTTGCAAAACGTCTCGTCATATTATTTTTTTTTAATGTTATATTTCTGAATAATAGTAATTCTTTGAATTACAAATAAACAATTTTCTTGCAGAAATACAAATAGATTTTTCTTTTTATTTTTTATTTATAAACTAATTAGATTAATTTATAAACTAATTAATTTATAAACTAATTAGATTAATCACGATAATTTAAAATTTAACAATAAAAATTTTCGAGAAATATTTATCTTCTCCAATATTTTTGCTTTATAGGATTGTTTTTAAAATTATAAAATATAAATATCTGAAACGTAATGATTAATACCCTGTTCTTTATATATACTTTTGATATATATGTGTGAATAAATGTTAAATTAAAAATCAAAATGAGTTATATATAAGGCATTCTTTCCAAATGAAGATCAAAAATTATCATTGCTTGCTATGAAATGCATTCTGATAATAATTATTATATTATTATTTTTAATGGATGATATTAAATGTAATTAACAAACTAATATTAAAAAATGTGCAACGCAAGTTATAATTTCTATATTGAAGATTGCCTGTGTGGCTTATGTTAGTCTGGTCAACTATACAATTTTAAAATATCGCATGTAATTTCGAGACACAAATAATTTTTAATTCTCTTGATTGTTATTTAAGTTTAATCGTACTTGGAATGCCTAAGCATAGATATTACTAAAATAATATAAATATAATATTTTTGTAATAAATTTATAAATTTTTTAGAAAGTTTAATTTGATTTGTTTAATAAGTTCAACAAATTTAACTTGTTGATATTATGTCGATATGATACTAATATATTATATAGATATTTTATATGTTTAAAAAATATTAAATATGGAAATATTAAGATGGAAATATTAAGATAGATTAAATTATTTTTAACAAAATTTCTGAAGAAATAACAAGTAGAGCGTTTTCGAAGATGCACTGTATGTTTTTCTATATGGAGAAAATATATATAGAATGTCTCAAAATTCGCGATTCAAAATACAACAAAAAGGTCTGGAAAAATTGAGTAAAAAGTTACGATTGTAAATTTTTGTTTCAAACAATAGTTCTTGAAATATAGATAATATAAGATTGTAAGTTGATCAATCATATACTACTTTTAAATTGATGCTTATTGAATCGCGCATGCAATGAGCATACACTTCAGATCCTGTGAACATGTAATCACTAATGTTATTACATTAATATATAAATAAATTGGAGTAATCTAAACGTTTCTTCATAATTTATAATATTAGCGATATAATTTTGATGAATTAAATATTTTATAACGTTTATTTATTGGCATTTACATTATATTTTGCATGATAAAATATCAAGAATGCGTATATGATCTAAAGTGCATGCTCACTAATACTACTGCACGCGCGACCTATGAATAAGCGTCCATCTCAAAATAGTAGTATATGATAAGTAAAAGTAGTATATAATTGGCCTTTATATCTCAAAAACTATTGTTGGACATACAAATTTAAAAATAAACTGTTAATGAGTCGAAGTTTTCTTGAATCGATAATGTGAGCCACGAATTTGGAGACTCTAGTGCGTGCGT